GTTTGTTACCCAAGTTGCCAAAAATAACAGGTTACTGCAAAGAAAAACAGAATAAGAGAAATTTAAACTCAATCTTTACAAATTTCCCTTGATCACAACTGCTTCCTGCTCATCACTATATTACGTATCCTAGAACAAGGTGATAAATCTTTTTTTACACAGCAGCATTCCTCCAGAGAATGGAAGCTGCATGGTGGGCACAGCTGAAGCAAGCAGCAGGATGGGCCGTAGTCAAAAGTTGTTGGAGCCATCCATTTTCCCTCTGATATCTCCTTTATTATCTTTAACACCTTCTTCTCTCTGTCTCTCTCAAAAAGCATGTTGGAGAGAAGGAACTGATAGCTCCTACAGGATGTCTAAATGATTTGTTGCAGAAGATTTTTTAAAAAATTGTGAAGATAGCCTAAAGACTCATTCCTGACCTAAAAATGCTGCTTCCCGCCCCACACACACACATAGGGTGCCTGTGCTTTGTCAATCTAGGAGACCCTTGCTTGAGTTCACCCATTTTTCTGAAGCAAAATAACTGAATCTGGGAAAGAACTGTTTTTATTATGGTTCCTTAACCAAAAAATGCTCCCCCTAACTAGATTCGTCTGGTTTGGCTGTCCTTTCAATATCAATTAAAACTTTATTTGTCCTGAGTTTTTTTAAAGATGAAATGTTATGGCTTCACTTGGAGACCTCGCTGTTGTGCTATTATAACTTACTAAAGTAGTTAACAAACTGTTCAATAGTTCTTGGGCAAAAAATGGGATTAAAGGTTCCAAAACTAACATGCCACAATTTTGTAGGACACAACATTATAGAAGAGACAAAATTCTGCCTTTTCCTCAGAAACTACTTTGGTATATATAAACATTTTTCCAATAGGAAAGTACATAATCACTCTTGCAAATCCATTTTGCACTCTGAAGTTGTAGAGTCCAACAATAGATATATGATACCTTTAGCTCAGTCACTCACTCTCTCTCAGCTCAACCAACCTCACAACGCTGTTGTGAGGAAAAAGTCTTGTACTGCACTGAGCTATAAGTGCATACCAAATAAAACTTCAAAACACTAAATCTGCTGATTAGCTAAATCAGCACACCCTTCAATACATTATTTGTTTTGTTTTCTCTATTCTAAACATCACTCTATGCACTTGAATACACTGTCTTTTAAATTAAATTATATCCCAAATATGAAAAATGCTTTCTTGACTCAATACACTAAACATTAAAAATGTCTGTATTAATTTACTTTTAAAATAAAAAAAAGGTAAAAGTGCACTTAATTTGCAGGTAGTCCTCACTTAACGACTAGAATTTCCATCACTAAATGAAGTGATCATTAGGTGAAACATCATGTGACAGCACCATTTAGCGATGGCAATTCCGGTAGTCCTGGTTGCTGTCATTAGGCGAGGACTATGCCATCGTTAGGCAAAGACGTCACACTTCTCCTGCCCTGCATAAACTGCTAGCTCTGTCCCACTGCCTCCTCCCCATCCGGGCCTGGCAAGCTCCCTTCAGCAGACAAGGCTCCGCCACCCTGCCACACACACCTCCATTTCAACTCTCCCCTTCTGCCTATCTCTTCTATCTATCCCCTCCTATCCCCATCTCTTCGCTTTTAGCCATCCTGCACTTCACCACTGCCACCTATCCCTTCCACCTCCCGCCGCCCCAGCTGACCTTCACCGTCTTCCTCCCGCTGCTCTTGGCCCTTTGCAACACCTTGAAGGCCTCACAAAGGGTCAGCAGCTGCCTCAGCTGGGTGTGTCTCATCAGCAGCAGCAGGAAGTAGACGGCAAAGGTCAGCTGGGGGTGTCGGGGCAGCAAGGGCAGCAGAATGCTGGGTTCGAGGCATTGCAAAAGGCCAGCAGCTGCCTTGGCCAGGTGTGCCTTGTCAGCAGCAGGAGGTAGATGGCGACGGTCTGGTGGGGGCAGAAGGGGGCAGCAGGGGCAGTGGAGTGCAGGGCAATGGGGGTTCAGGGCAGAGTGTAGGGCAGCAGGGGCGGCAGAGTGCAGGGCAGCCAAAAGGGCAGAGATGGGGGATATAGGCGGGGGGGAGTTGACGTGCACACTGTGGTTGTAAATGCAGGCGGGCTGCCAAGTGCCTGAATTTTGATCATGTGACTGAGGGGCGCTGCAATGGCCATGACTTCAAGGACCAATTGTAACTACCATTCATTCAGTGTTGTCATAACTTTGAATGGTCGCTGAAAGAATGGTCATTAAGCAAGGACTGCCTCTAACAAGATTCATAATTGGAAACAGACTACCACTTAAAATAAGCCAGTGTAACAATATTTATCACATGCTTATATTGATTCTCTTCTTCCTATTTTAAATGGCATGCTATCTGACACCACCTATACTCCAAGTAAACAAATTTAAAACCACAGCAAAACTAAAAAGATCAGAAGACTGAACAATACAAAGTATTTTTTTCCCTGCTAATATCACTGAACTCCCTCCAAATTACCTGTCTTGTTTAAACAATTTCTAAATGAAATAGCTTATTCTCTTGCAAACTGCAATTCATAAGCTGTTTATTAAGTAACCTGTCTCAAGCAGTTCAACTGGAGGCTTTTGAAAAGTTTTGTAACCTAGCAGGTAGAAATAAAGAAGCCTCAGCATATAATGTGCAGAAGAGTTTACTCCTCTCTAGCAATGTTGCCTATATATGAGATTAAATGGCACACAGTATAAACTATGAATTTAATGGAAAATCAAGCTGTGATCCTTGTATAACCCTAAGGTGACAAATAACTTATCCACAAGAGGGCAATATAAGAATATTAGTCCACTTTTACCCCTGTACTCTTTGACTTTGTCTCACAGCTTTTGTGGAGTCAACAATAATAATCCAGAAAGGCATACCACTTTTGGGAGGGTGAAAGTAATTAATAGCACAACATTCTGCATGTTATGCTTGTTGTAAATAGATACCTTGGTCCGATTTATCATTGTGAAGCAGTATGGTAGACAGTTTTCCAGTTTCCCTTTTTACCACCACCAAAAAAAAAAAAAAAACTCTTGAAGAAGCATGCAAATTGCTGAATGTCACAAGGAAGAGCTACTGAATATCACAAGGACTAGCTGAATATGACTGATGCCTCACAGTCCCCACTGAGCCATTTTGTAAACTTAAAAAGTTCTTGCTTAGTGTTTTTAAAACCCTAAAAAATCCTAACCCCCCCCCAAAGAAGCTGTTGATGCTCTGTCCCCTCTCTTCACATAATATAAAAAAGTCATTATGCTCCCCTCTAGTTTATAAAAAGTCCTTTTTCTTCCCCCTCAACATTTTTAGGAAAAAAAAAAATACTTTGGCCACTGCCTGCAGTATACATATTAAGCCTCCTGTTTCATGGATGCAACCATAAATTTAAATAACTACAAAAACTCTTTTAAAAATATATAAGTTGGAGGGGGAAATATTTGGTCTAATCTATTTATCAAATGTCTGGGTGGTGTAGGTGGAAGGCAACCCTTCCCTACCTTGTCATCCAGAGACAGCTCTTTCCAGTTTGAAGTGATAAGGAGCCTTTAAGGGTTATCTATAACCACCCTTTCTCGCATTGCCCCCAAACCAACGTTATCTAGCAAAAACTATGCACAGCCTTGGAAGGTATTCTTTTGGACAATTTCATGTCAATAAGAACTCAAGTTCATTTGAATAATATCTAGAAGAAAAATGTCCTCCAGGAACCTCAAGTTTCTGCCCAATAAACAAGAATTGTGCCTGCTTGTTATGGGAAGTCCCAGGAAACATTTCAAGTTTCCACTGGAAGAAAAGGTACTTATTTCAGTCCCTAATCTGATAAGACATGAGGTAGATAGAGATAGATGAGAAGTGAGCCTGTCCCACACATACTTCATATTTTTGGTGGTGTATGGTTGTCTACAGTTTACTCTGGATTTATTTCTTTATTTATTCCTACAGTAAGTAGCAGCTTCCCTGTAGCTTCAGAAGCTTGGTTAGTTCTTGGGTAGCAAACTTCCAGAGAATACCAAGACTACAGGTTAGACTGGGAAGTCCAGAAGCATCCTGGAAGAAAAAACGATAAACCACTTCCTATTGCTGCCAAGAAAACTACATGGACATGCCCATAAAGCCATCAGGAGTCACATTCAACTTGAAGTTGTCTTTACTGTTACCTTTTGAGAAGATATGTGTGGGGAATGTGTGGATTCACTAGAATGGAAAGAGAGGGAAGAGGACAGGGCAGTCTTATAATGATTTGGTCTGAGAACTATCAGTCAAGCGTAGTAATGCAGAGCACCTCCTCTGAGTTTATATTCTGGAGGGGGAGTAGAGAGGGATTTGAAGGTATAGGTGGAAGGATGGGTCTAAGAGAAGCCTGCAAGTCCTAGCTCTAGGAAAACCTTCATCTGTCAGAGTGACTGGTTTATGAAAATATGTTTAGTGCCAGGGAAGGCAATAATTGAAACCTACAGATATGCTGTCATATTAAGGGAACATGTTAGCAACCCATTTTAAGCTATTTAATAAAATTTATTTTGATTGCTTATTTAAATATTAACAGTGCT